TTGAAGATTTAAAATCTGACACTGGATAGGTAAGTTAGCAAATAAAGCAAGTCATATATGGACTAATGATGAGAGTCTACTATAATCCAATTCCATGAACCTGAGGTCTAACAGAACTTTTTTTTTAAGTGTATATGACAGGATATAAAACAGAATCACCAACATAGTATTCTTGCCAAAAACGTTGATTCCAGAATGGCAAACCAAAGAGGGGAGGCAAATATAAAAACAGAGGCAGAGTGTAAAGAAATAAAGACCAGTGTGTACTGAAATCCCAGAATGCATACTCCCAGAAGACTGTAAAGGTGTTGGCAGATTCCAGATTTGGAATGGAAGGTGAACCCTGCCAAGCTGCCCCTTCATGACTCAGTGGGCACCTGAGTTATCGAGGAGCTGGAGAAGGCATTTTTGTTGGCAACATTGCCAAGACCCTAAGTCAGGAACCGCGAGAGCTGGCTAGAGAAGAGTCTGCCATTTCTCCAAAGACCAAAAAGCACATTTCCTCTGAATGTACGAAAGATCCATTTATAAATCAATGATTAAAGAAGACATGTGAAGCAGAAGGCAGTGGTTCAGCACTTTGGGAGGCTGAGGCGAGAGGACTGCCTGAGCCCGCGGGTTCGAGACCAGCCAGGGCAATATGGTGAAAACCTCGTCTCTACAATAAATAACTAAATAAATAATTAGCTGGGCGTGGTGGCATGTCCTGTAGTTCCTGGAAGGCTGAGGCAAAAGGATCACTTAAGCCCAGTAGGTCGAGGCTATGGTGGCCGGGAGCGGCATGCCACTGCACTCTAGCCTGGACGACTGGGAGACAGAGTGAGACTCCCACTTAAAAAAAAAAAAAATAGAAGACATGTGGAGAAGTGCCTTAGTAATGTCTGCTCAGGGTTCAGGTTGTTGAGGAGAACCCAGTATTTCTATTTCAGGCTGGAGTAGAAATATACAAAATTATCTGGCTTCCCTGTGAAGGAGAGAATGTGCAAGATTGTTAAGTGACGTCAGTTTTCTACAAAACAACTTCCCAACTATGAAATTTTTCTTTTCAGCATGCAGACAAAAGCCAGCCTGAAACGGTTTCAAAAAAGCCATTAAGCCTCTTGCAATGAACAGATAGCATCAGCACTGATGATTGCCAACAGCCTTGAAGAGGTTGGAAAACAGGAAGATAGTCCTCTACCTTGTAAAAGTCATTGACTAGGAGCCTGTATTTAAGTGCTGGCATTAGGAGAACGCAGAGACCACAGTGGACTTGGAGCTCACAAAGGCAGGCCACAGACCTAGATAATTCCAGCACTGAAATAATCTGCTTTCTAAAAAGGCTCATGGCTGGGCGCAGTAGCTCAAGCCTGTAATCCCAGCACTTTGGGAGGCCGAGGCGAGAGGATTTCCTGAGCTCAGGGGTTCGAGTCCAGTCTGAGCAACTTGGTGAGATCTCGTCTCACAATAAATCAAAAAAATAAACCAGGCATGGTAGTACACGCCTGTAGTTCCAGCTACTTGGAAGGCTGAGGCAAAAGGATCACCTGAGCCCACCAGGTCGAGGCTGCGGTGGCTATGAGCATGCCACTGCACTCCAGCCTGGGCGACAGAGTGAGACTCCAACTCAAAAAAAAAAAAAAAAAAAGGTTCTTAGAGAAGACTTCTGGCCCATTCCACATGGATCTGGAGAGATTAGAGGGATCACAGAATTATAGACTTTGAAAACAGGTATTTCAAAGCTCAGGAGTTGCTCAAGTTGGAAATGCACATCCTGCACAGAAAGATACTTTCTGGCCTTCAGCAAAAAATCTCCAATAATTATTTTACACCTACAGCAAAATTACTGAACATAATTATCACTCCTTACAGGTCTGGGCCAGAAGAAAGAGAATTTATGTTTCTTCAGAGTCTAGCAACATCATAAAGAAATGAACAGGCTGATACTCCACTGGCAAATATGATCCTTCTGGGATATCACATATGCTTAACTATTACAGCTTAGTACCCAGTGAAAGCTAGGACAGAGAATAAATTTCTCTTTGTTTTTTTTTTTGAGTCGGAATCTCACTCTGTCACCCAGGCTGGAGGGCAGTGGCACACTCACAACCACCACAGCCTCAACCTACTGGGCTCAGTTGATCCTTCTGCCTCAGCCTTCCAAGTAGCTGGAACTACAGGCACGCATCACCGCACCCGGCTAATTTTTTGATTTATTGTAGAGATGAGGTCTCACCAAGTTGCCCAGGCTGGTCTCGAACCCGTGGGCTCACACAATCTTCTCAACTTGGCCTACCAAAGTGCTAGGATTATAGGTGTGAGCCACCACACCCAGCCTTAAATTCTAACTACAACATCACTGCAGCAATGCAAGATGCAGACAATCTGACCCTGACAATAAACCAAAGGGTGTAATAGATAACAGAAAATATTTCTTTAAAGCCTAGGGGTAAATTATACTATGTGGAAGTGAAGTAAAATGTAAACTAAGACTAGGCATCAGAAAAATTGATTTGAAAAATTTGTTTTAGAAACAAATACCGTGGGACTAATTTAAAAATACAAAGGGTCACAATACCAAAACAAAAACTCAATTAAAGGAAGGTGATCGTTTCTTAAATTCAGAGATTCCATGACCAAATACACGTACGCACACAGAATATAAAATTTGGATTCTAATTTTTTTCTTCTAAATTTTATTCCACACAATATCACTCTTCTAACTGTAGAACAAACATCTAGATTATCAGATCCTTAAGGACAGAAACCAGATATCATTACTGTCTCAATATCCAGAGTTCAATACAGTACACTGTAAACTGTGTGAGTTAAATATTTTTATGTAGATAATTTTATGATTAAAAAATCCTCAAATTTCTTTAAACACAATATTTCAAGTTACTATATTTTTGTTTCGAGATCTGAAATGATACAAATTGTGCCCAAAGATTAAAGCATGAATTAAGCAAATAGATTAGAAAAAAAATGTTCTCACTTAGATTTCTATTCCTCACTCTTACTTGCTTCATACTATTTCTATTGAAGGTATTTAGTTAAACCTTTAATGAATGACATGTGAGAAGAAGGTCATCTGAAAACAGAGTTAACCTAGACTAGCTCATGGGTGCCAGACAGGGAGACTGTGGACTCTGAAATGGTCCACTTCCTGCTAAAAACCAGTTCCGTTTTCTATTTTGCTTTAATATAGGCCTGCTTGGATGAAGCACCACTCAGTAGCTACTGACCATTTAAGTAGGTAGTATATAACATATAAACAACTTAAAGGTAAAGTATAAAAATGGTTTTCTTTCCAAGTAAAAGCAAATAAATGGAAGACTAGTTATAGCTCCGAAGCACACTGGGTCTGACACTAAGCACCCCTCCCCCAAAATGTCTGCAGCAGCCCTCACTGGTCAATATCTCATTTCCCAGACCCTCTTGATTCTGGCACTTAGGCTAGAGTTACCACAGAGGTAGCAAAAAGTTTAAGGAAACTGGAGGTTTCCCACAGAATTTACATTCTGGCAACAGTGTTAAACACACATGGCATGGACTATTACTAAGATGGTAGCCTGTTTCTCAGCTTCAGAGGCTGCGAAGGACATTTGTTACTTAGACTCTGCTGGTCTTGGGGCAGCATGGAATGACGCAGCTCATTTTACTGGTGACAAGAATGACCCTTTTATCCCATATGGCCAAAGACAGCAGCTTTCGTCCAAGTCTGTGGGAATCAGATGAACTATGCTTTGGGGGTTTTGGGTTTTGTTTTGCTTTGGCGTGTGGGGTTGTTTTTTGTTTTGGAGTTCTGTCAGTGCATATATATACTTACATATGGTATAGTCTTTAAAAATTGCTTTCCTTATGTTTCATTGCTTGGTCACATCCCATACACTGTCATCGTTAAAATTTACTGACGCCCAGTACCCAATTTAGAAGGCTCTAACACAATAAACACATGGCAAGGAGTTAGGGACCCTAAGGTATCTTCAAGAATGGGATGGCTCTGACATCACTCACTGTGGAGTGAAAGCACTAAGTTCTGTCTAGTTCTGCCTGAGAGGAGATAACTTCATGCAGGTGTACTGTTACTCTATTGCCAAACAGGTAACAAAAGCTGCTCTTAGCTTTGGCATTTTCTGTTTCCTGAAAGGGATTCTGACTGACGGAGGCAGAGAGGACAGTGAGTGACCCCAAATAAATGGACAATCCCCAAAAGGGCCAACAGAACCCCCTGGAATCTGCGTGGGTCTTTTCCTCTGTGAACCCGCAAATGGACTCTAGTCCTCAAGTGCAGGACCCAGAGACCAGAAGCTTGTAAGAACTGTTATCAGCAACACGTGTCATCTAAGCAAAGCCACACAGCTCCCTCCTCAATCTAAAGTCCAGCTTTTTGGGAGAGGAGAAGGGAGATTGGTGCAGGTGAAGGACATGTTGTTTCCCAAAGGCCTGATACTCTAGGCTACACCTAACAATATAGTCAGAATGCAGAATATAATTCCACTTTGAAAATAAATAGCATTATTTTAAGGGTAGAGCATCTTGAGAAAATTGAGGATGCCTACTCTGAAATCTGAACACAAGAACATGGAAGTCACACCGGTAAGCAGGTATATTCTGCTGAAAACACAGATGGGTATTTTGGCTTTCAAGCATCACACAAACACTTTTCAAAACTTTAGCCACTTGAAGTGCAAATGTTAAGCAGACTTTAAAAGAGATCCTTGGTAGCACATGCCGGTAGTTTCGGCTACTTGGAGGGCTGAGGTGGAAGGATTGCTGGAGCCCAGCAGGTCGAGGCCGGGGTGGCCATGAGCGTGCCACTGGACTCCAACCTGGGTGATGTAGTGAGACTCCGACTCAAAAAAATTAAAATAAAATAAAATAAAGAGATCCTAAGCAATAATTCATACCTGTCTTCATGAAACATGGTCAACTCTGGTTTTTGGTGGTGATATCTCAGACTATACATAGACCCTGACTCTGCTTCCCTCACAATGAACAGCCATCCAAATGGTATGTACACATAAAGGTTTACACAAAGGCCCTGCTAGAACTTTGCTTAAGCCTTTTCGATTAGGTGCATGGAGCCAACCAGCTCACTCTGTATACCTCACCAAAGGCAAGAGCAGCAACTTTTCTATTTCAATAACAATTACGGGCAGAAATTATATGATGTAAAATAGAGGTCCTTCCATAAAGTTTAAGATTTAGGGCAGGAAAAGTCAAAATTCCCACGAAGTCAAAAATAATTCCATGTGGTCTTGTACTCCATGAACCCTGCGACGAACTCTAGTTCTCAAACTCATGTACTCGGATCCAGGGCCACCAGGACACTTCAGTATGCCTCCACCTGGCTCATCATCATCTTTCTGCTGTATTCATAGGCCACAAATAGTGACCCATTAGCGGGGATTGCTCGAATCATAGTAGCTTTCAGTCCAGAATATAAGGCTGCTATTCCTTCATTTCTCACAACACTTAAAAGGGTTCCAATAAATCCTGTCTGTTTTCCATACATCGAAAGAACCTGAATTCTGGATTTAACACAATCCACTGGAAACACGACAAGCCAGAGGCAAATTCCAGCAACTCCACCACTTAACATCAAATGGGCAGGGCCTAGTTCATCTTTTGATCGCCCTGATGCAAAAAAAGATCGGCTCAATTCATAACCACCAAAGAAGAAGAAATAGCCCGGTACTTCTTGAAGGAGAGTACTCGAGAAACCGTGGTAGAAGCCTGAAGGGCCATCCTGTCTGAGAATACCCTTCATGACAGACCAAATTGTATTATGGCTTCTGGCTATCTTCCCTGACCTCTCCAGTTCATACATGGCCTGTAGCCGGCACTTCACAAGCTCAGTGGGGCAGAGGGCCAGCGCGGCGAACGCTGACGCCAAGGACCCGGCGGTGGCAGTCTGCAGATCACTCAGCTTTGCCTGCTTGTCCAAGCCAACCACTCTCCTGACAAACTGTTGGCAGAAGCCGTAGCACATAAAGAGTACCGAGTTCTCGGCGACATAGGCCATCAGCGCAGGGCCGGTCCCCTTGTAGAAGCCCCGGAAGCCCACTTGGGTATACGTTTTCAGAAGGCAGTCGGTGAAGCCCTTGTACAGGTTCGGGAACGTCTGCATCTTCACTTTTATGGTGTCGAAGGGCTGCCCGGTCAGTACACACGCTGTGCCCCCTGCGGCCCCCGCCGTGAGGTCGATGGCGGCTTGGATGCCAGGACTGGACTTCATGTTCGCTCCCTCGGCGGCTGGTCTCAGTGAAAGCAGCTTGACTCTCCGGAGCGCAGGACCGGGTTCTCACGTCCCGCCGCCGGCTCACAGGTCTCTCTCCCCGGCGGGGAGGCCGCTTAACCCCACGCTTGGCCCCGCGCGCCCGGCGCACTGAACTAACCCCCAGCCGCGCCCCCACGCGGCTCACGAGCGCGCCCGCGGGCTCTGGCGCCGGGGTCTGGCTATGCCAGCGCCCGCGGGCGGGAGACTCGGACTGAAGTACCTCGAATGCCTGGTAAAACGGCGGTTGAAAGCGATTCGATAAATCCTTGCAACGACGCCGGAGACTCTAGGCGTCGCTATTCACCCGACGCGGAAAGGAAGGCTTTCCGATTCCGCCAGAGTCCACGTTTTTTGCCAAGCCAAACGAAATAGGAGATTGCGGAGCCTGGATTCAGAGTCAATCTACAGAAAGTGTACTTTAAGGTAGAAAAGACAAACTATTTGGGGGTTGCTACATGAGAGTTGGTGACTGCTTTTGATGAGAAAACCCTCGGCAAGCCGGGTGCGGTGGCTCACGTCTGTAATCCCAGTACTTTGGGAGGCGGAGGCGAGAGGATTGTCGGAGCCCACGGGTTCGAGACCAGCCTGGGCAACATGGCTAGACCGCGTCTCTACAAGAAATTTAAAACATTTAGCTGGGCGTGGTGGCTCGTGCCTGTAGTTCCAGCTACTTGGAAGGCTGAAGCGGAAGGATCGCCCGAGCCCAGGAGGTCTAGGCTAGGCGACAGAGAGAGACTGACTCAAAAAAAAAAAAGAAAAGAAAAGAAAAAGAAAACCTTCAGCAATGGGCGGGCGCAATGGCTCATGCCTGTAAGTCCCCCAGCACTTTGGGAGGCGGAGGCAAGAGGATTACCTGAGCCAGGGGTTCGAGACCAGCCTGGGCAACTTGGAGAGACCTTGTCTCTACAATAAATCAAAAAATTAGCGCGCACCTGTAGTTTCAGCTACTTGGAAGGCTGAGGCGAAAGGATCACCTGAGCAGATCAGTGGCGGTGAGCGTGCCACTGCACTCCAACCTAGGCAGCAGAGTGAGACTCCGACTCAAAAAAAAAAAAAGAAAAAGAAAAGAAAGAAAGAAAAGAAAACCCTCTGCGAGCGGCTCCTGCACCTCAGTCTCTGGAGGGTTGGGGAACTGTCGGGGTTCTGAGCCCAGCAGAGCTGGAGAAATGCTGTCCGTGGCAGCATCTCCAAGGATCTGAGGTTGCAACCCTGGGAACTGGTGGTAAGCGAGTCCTCATCATTTCTTGAGATGGGACACGCATCTGACAATTGACTTGGGAAACAGATAGTACGTCTATACTGTATTGCAAAGGAGCTTGATAGAAAAGAACTGTGTGACTCCCGGATCTATTCTTGCTAAGTTTTGAAGTTTTTGTCGAGGACCCACACAGCTGTATGCACTAGAAGTTAGAAGTTCTGGATGTAAATGACAACATGCCTACCTTCCAAGGCATGGTGCGGTTTCCGATATTATTGAGAGAACACTTTTTCCTTCCAAATGTTCATAATCACTATAATGAAAAGAATTCTCTCCAAGTTTAAATTCAAAGTCCTAGCTGACTTTGGGTAGTACAAACAAAATCTGGTGGAGATATAAAGTATGCTGAAAATATTCTTTTTTTTTTTTTTTTAGTTGGCGTCTCACTCTGTCACCCAGGCTGGAGTGCAGTGGCATGCTCGTAGCCACCACAGCCTCAACCTGCTGGGCTCAGGCAATTCTTTTGCCTCAGCCTTCCAAGGAGCTGGAACTACAGACGTGTGCTACCTTGCCTGACTTGTTTTTTGATTTATTGTAGAGATGAGATCTCATCAACTTGCCCAGGCTGGTCTCGAACCCCTGAGCTCAAGCAATCCTCTTGCCTCGGTCTCCCAAAGTGCTGGGATTACAGGCTAGAGCCACTGCACCCAGCCAGTATTCTCTTTCATTGAGAAAACTTTCCCTCTCTGATCCTTGGCTGTCAATTAATATTTAAAAGTGAGACAGAGAAAAGCAAATTGTGTATGGATTGTTTGTCAATAGTCTCCATTGTAGTAAATAGCAACTTGACCTTTCTTTGGTGAATGGCTTATGTCAGCATTTGCAGTCATTTTATCTGGGACCACCCACGTGGTTTCTTCAGAGAATAGTCTTCCAATGTTGATTCTGTGTATATGAGCGGGGCTGGGGAGGAGTAAGTTACAGATTATATACCTTGACACTGATTTAATGAAACAAGAGCGGGGAAAATGGGTGACATTCCTACAGTAAATATATAGACTTTTACATAACTTCTTTGTCTGATGCTATACACCCCAGACTTCATCTGTGCCTACTGTCTCTTATTTTGGGCCTTCTTTGTTTCAATTTATCCAGAAAGTAAATTTTCCATCTTCTGTGGGATGCTGAAAGTTATCGGGCTTCATAGAGTGGGATAGGGATCCCGGACACCCAATAACTCTGAACACAGACTTTAATGAATCTCACGTCTCTAGGCCTACACCTTCCCACCTTCTTGCCTCTCACATGTTCTGTAATGAGTGGGCTTGTCTCACTTTGGTATAACCCCTTGCAGACATTTGGCATGTGACCTTCTGTGATCTGTGAATTCATTTTTCATTTCTCTATATTTTGTTCTTCCGAAAATGGGTTGACATCTTTCATTCATTGTTGTCTTATCTCCTGTTCTCTTTGTTCTTGGAGGTTAACATTTTTTTAAATCCTATGTATTATTTTAGCAGGCTTTTTGATAGAGAAAAGAGATGTGTGAGTTCAAACTGCCATTTTAAACTAGAAAACTTTCTTAAGATTTTTAAATCCCTCATGCCATATTTAAAAGTTGCTTTTCCTATGTAAGGGGGGAAAGTATATTTTTAATATTTATAATGGAAGTCCTATCAAATTATCTAGCTGTGCATTCAATATTTTAATGACCATTGATTAAATGCTCATTCATTACACCTGGTACATTGTTTTATTTTTTGAGTCAAGGTCTAACTCTGTAACCCAGGCTGGAGTGCAGTGGCATGATCACAGCTTACCGATGACAGCTCATTGATGACAGCTTACCAATCACAATTCACAGGAGCTTCAACCTCCTGGGCTCAGGGGATCCTCTCACCTCCACCTCCCAAAGTGCTGAGACTACAGGCTCGTGCCACCATGCCAGGCCCATTGTTTATTTTTTAAAAACACAAACTGGATCTACAAGAGGTGCAAGATAAATAATCAAATGCCTTTGCATTTTGCTCATTTATGTATTTTTGAGAAACAAAGTTAGTAATCTCAGAAATTAGACTTGAAGCTTCAAGCACTCCTATCTGAAGAATGTGTTTTAAAATTATACTGTGGGCCGGGTGCGGTGGCTCAAGCCTATAATTCCAGCACTTTGGGAGGCAGAGGCGAGAGGATTGCTAAAGCCCAGGGGTTTGAGACCAGCCTGGACAACATGGCAAGACCTTGTCTCTACAATAAATAAAAAAAAATTAGCCGGGCATGGTAGCGCACATGTGTAGTTCTGGCTACTTGGAAGGCTGAGGCAGAAGGACCGCCGGAGCCCAGCAGGTTGATGCTGGAGTGGCAATGAGTGTGCCACTGCACCCCAGCCTGGGTGACAGAGTGAAACTCTAACTCAAAAAAAAAAAAATTATATTGTGTAATAGTAACCACACTTATATTAGCTATTTTTGAGACTGATACCAGTAATCTAATTTTTTGTAAAACATACATTTAAACAATGAAATTTATGCATAAAATTTAAGTAGTTATTGAGCTAAGTCTGTATTCAAGGCATTATGTTAGGTACTATGGTACTTCACTGAGTACTAAATGGTAACTGAAATTATTTAAATGATAATATATTAAGTAGACTTTGCTACAGTCATCTAATATAAATTAGAGGTCTTCTGTTGAAGCCTTTTGAAAAATAAACATTGAATGCCAAATGAAATGGACCAACTATACATTGATCCAGTTATTTAGAAATGATTTTGGCCATTAGGTATACTCTTTAAGACAAAGGAAGTCCATTACCATATCTGTAATAAATATGGCTGGGTGTGGTGACTCACACCTATAATCCCAGCACTTTGAGAGGCTGAAGTGAGAGAATTGCCTGAGTCATGGGTTTGAGACCAGCCTGGGTAACTTGGTGAGATCTCATCTCTACAATAAATTAAAAATTATCCAGGTGTGGTGGCGCTGGCCTGTACTTCCAGCTACTTGGAAGGCTAAGGCAGAAGGATCACCTGAGCCCAACAGGTCAAGACTGCAGTTGCCATGAGCAGTGATCCACTGCACTCCAGCCTGGCCGACAGTGTGAGACTCCAACTCTAAATAAATAAATAAGAGAATGTCCAAGGCATTCTGATTCCAGTGACATGACATATTCTCTGCATCACCATCTCATTATGGAGAGAGCTTAAAATGAATAATTAAGGTTATTTACAATAAAGGTGTTTGCTACATCAGTGGCATTTTTTTTTAATTACATATTTTATCTTCTATGTAAAAAAAAATGGGTTAACTCTACATTGCTATTTTTTCTAGTTGGGCTGCATGAACAGCCATGCTAGGCTATCTGTGCATTCGATCCTTTTGGGCTACAGTTCATGATGCACACTGTCTTTAAGCACTGTTTTTGTGGGTGGAAAATGCACTTAACATGTTTTTCCTCTGCTCTCACATCACTGAAAGGACGGACCAAGAGCAGGAAGCCATTATTTTATCTTGTTCTTAAACCCTGACACAATGATGAGAAAGTAGAAGATATGTCCTGGAGAAATCCATGTTTTACCTTGTTCCTAAACCCTAACACAATGATGAGAAAGTAGAGGCTATGTCCGGGAGAAATACATGCTCTAAGTAAAGATTAACTTTGCAGACTTTATCTTTTCAGAAACACAGACTCCTTAAGCATGACAGCCTATTGTAATTTGTCTTTTTAGAAACAAATTTCTCAAGCATGACCAGGATGGACCCATTGTATACTCAGTGCCTGGTGACCAGGACCCCTGTCAGGGTCTCCAAGACATCCACAAGTGGTCAACAAGGAAGTC